CAGCTACTTGGGAGGCTGAGGCAGGAGACTCGCATGAGCCCAGGAGTTGGAGGTTGCTGTGAGCTGTGATGCCACAGCACTCTGCCCAGGGTGACAGCTTGAGGCTCTGTCTCAACAAAAAGAAAAGAAAAAGAGAAGAAAACTAGCAATCTTTGAGACAAAAAATGTATAGGATAGGGGCAGTGCCTGTGGCTCAGGGAGTAGGGCACTGGCCCCACATACTGGAGGTGGTGGGTTCAAACCTGGCCCTGGCCAAAAACTACAAAAAAAAAAAAAAAAAAAAGACTAAGTTGTTGCACAGGTGAAATAAATGGCTGCTCTAATAAAACTCACCACTCTTTTAAAGCAAGATAACAAAATTCAGAGATAAAACAACAGAATATTCACAATATCTAGCATCCAATGAGAAACTGAAACAGAAAGAGAAGCTGAGGCAGCTGACCACACAGATCTGGGGAAGAGCTTTCCACACAGAAGAGACGAGGGATGTAAAGGCCCTAAGGCTTTTATTCCTGGCAAAAGCAGAATAAAAAGGACTGATTCATCCTTCTCACCAAAACTTAAAAGACTAAAAGAAAAAATGAACAATGAGAGTTGGCAACAAGATAATCCCAACATTTGCCCCTGCCTACTATCTTGAGAGTTTCCAGGGACCCAGGCAGAGCCCAGCTCCATGAGCTAAGAAAACAGAGTTAAGGGTCAAAAAGACCAAGGCAGCTGGAGTTTACAGAAGACGCAGATGATAGTGCCAGACGCGGTGGCTCACGCCTGTAATCCTAGCTCTCTAGGAGGCTGAGGCAGGTGGACTGCTTGAGTTCAAATATGGAGACCACCCTGAGCAAGAGTAAGAACCCCATCTCTAAAAATAGCCAGGCATTGTGGCAGGCGCTTGTAGTCCCAGCTACTTGGGAGGCTAAGGCAAGAGGATCACTTGAGCCCAGGAATTGGAGGTTGCTATGAGCTATGACATCACAGCTCTCTACCGAGGACAACAAAGTAACACTTTGTCTTTAAAAAAAAAAAAAAAAAAGAAAGAAAAGAAAGCAAGCTGCAGAGAGAACTCCACCGATGTGCAGATTTGCAGACCACCTCCCTGATGTATTCACAGAGTCCTCACGAGGGCATGTCTCTGAGGAAAATAACTGAGGCCAGAAACAGTGTTTGTATCCTTCACAGGTAAATTAGAAAAACGCATAATTCATGAAACATTTGCTAGAAAAGCCACTACTTGGCTCAGTAGTGGGGAATAAGCCCCAGACAGAGCATAGTTCTATACTAGCCTAATAAATCATAAAAGTAAGACTGAAAACAAACTACTTTCAAATAACTTTATTCCATTTTTTTTTTTTTTTTGAGACAGAGTCTCAAGCTGTCACCCTGGGTAGAGTGCCATGGCGTCATAGCTCACAGCAACCTCCAAGTCTTGGGCTCAAGCGACCCTCTTGCCTCAGTTTTTCTATCTTTAATAGAGACAGGGTCTTGCTTTTGCTCACACTGGTCTCGAACTGGTGAGCTCAAGCAATCCACCTGCCTCAGCCTCCCAGAGTGCTAGGATTACAGGCATGAGCCACCACACTCAGCCTTAACTTCATTCTAGAACTAACACCACACTTCATTCTAGAACTAATACCAAGAACACTTATAAGAATTCAAAAATACCCAGCACCCAACAACGTAAAATTCACAATTTCCAGCATATGAACAAAGATTACCAGACAAAGAAGCAAGAAACACAATCAGTAAAAACTGATCCAGGAATAACGGATGTTAAGATTACCAGATAAAAATGTCAAATAGTTATCATAACTATTATTCTTATGTTCAAGAAGGTAAATATTATTTCCATGGAAACAACAATAATTTTAAAAGATTTATTCTTCTCTAATAGTAAAACAAAACAAAACAAAACAAAAAAAATCCTAAGAT